CAGGTATCAGAGAGGTCCTCGGGACTTGTCTTTTGTTTTGTGTGTGCCACTGTCACTATGGGAGATACCCCCGGTAAATGTACTGTGTTAGAATACATTATGGTATTAGCCTCAGTCCATCTAGGTTAAGAATCTTTTATGAAACCCATCCATTAGAACACCCAACTTCCTCTTTTTCTGACCCACCTGAATCTCTTACAACTCCACCTCATAGACCACCCTTATTCAGCACAGGCACTTTCATCTCCACCTCCTGTTAACCCCACCGCACCCTCTCCGTCACCCCCACCTTCCTCTTCATTAACATCTCCAGACACCACTTCCCCAGAGTCCTTTATCACCCTTCCCAGTGAGCAGCCACACCCGTTCTCAACAGCGCCTTCTCTGTCCCTTATGTAAAGTGGTGACTTTGAAGGTGTTATCTGTGTCCATATTCCTTTCTCCTTCACCAGCTTATCTCAGATTGAAAAATGTCTGGGTTTCCTTTCTCACAACCCCACTACCTACATTAAGGAATTTCGTTGCCTCTCTCAAGCATATGACCTAACCTGACATGACATTTATATCATTCTTTCTTCTACTTTAAACTCTGATGAAAGGGAGCTGGTTCTTGGAATTGCTCGGAAACATGCCGACCAAATTCATTTAACTGACCATACCATGCCAATGGGTCCAGAAGCAGTTCCTGGGCAGAACCCTGGATGGAGATACCAACTAGAAACCCAATCTGGGTGGAATTTGCTGCACTCGTAGAAACACAATGCTCCAAAGCCTCCTAGTGGGCCTACAGGCTGTGTCACATAAAGCTGTTAACTTCGATAAACTGCGGGAGATTACTCAACTTCCTAATGAAAACCCAGCAACTTTTCTTAATCGCCTCACTGAGGCCCTTTTACAATATACTAGCTTAGACCCAACCTCCCCGGCAGGAGCTACTGTTTTAGCTACTCACTTTATCACCCAATCTGCTCCTGATATTAGAAGGAAACTGAAAAAAGGCAGAGGAGGGCCCCCAGACTCCCATCTGAGACCGGGTGAATATGGCCTAATTTAAAGTCTTTAATACTCGGGAGGAACAGGCTGAGGCAGATGGGGAATCCCGCACTTGCCAGAAGGCCACTTTGCAAGCCCAAGCCTTAGTGGCAGCCCTGAGGCCGGCACCTACTCGCCCAGCCAGAAACAACCTACAACTGGACCCTGCTTCAAATGCAGTAAGGAAGGCCACCAGGCCAAACACGGCCCGCACCCATCACAACCTTCCAGACCTTGTCCGGCGTGCGGTCAAATGGGACATTGGAAGAGTGACTGTTTCTCTGTGCCAAGACATGGGGGGGCCAACTCTTCCAACCCCTGACCAGCCGTTGACTGTCCTGAGTCTGGCAGTTGAAGACTGAAGGAGCCCCGACTCATCGACTCCAATCACTCTCGCTGAGCCCAGGGTAGCATTCAAGGTAGCCAGTAAGTTGATGTCCTTCTTGGTCAATACGGGGGCTACATATTCTGTCTCACCTTCCTTCCCGGGACAATTATAACCCTCCCCGGTCTCAGTGATAGGAGTTGATGGACACCCTCTAAACCCCAGGTAACAGGTCCTGTGACATGCCTTATAGACAACAGAACACTCATTTTTAGTAATGCCTACCTGCCCCACTCCACTTTTAGGCAGAGACCTTCTTTTTAAGCTAGGGGTCACCCTACATTGGACACAAGACCCCCCAGCAACACTTTTACTATCATTAACCTCCACTCTAGCATCCAGACCAAACCCTCCTTTACTTCCTGATTTAGTAAATCCCACAATATGGGACATCTCTAATCCTAGTATTGCTACCCACCATTCACCTGTTATCATTCATTTAAAGAATCCCTCTCATTTTCCCTCAAGACCCCAATTTCCCATCTCTCTGACACACCGACAGGGATTAAAACCTCTTATCCAGCAAACCCTGCAAGAACAAATTCTAGAAAGACCTCAGAAGGTCCCGGTGTCTTCATGAGTACAAATTATTCAACATACTTTATCCTTTCTTAACCATTCACGCACTTTACCCAATATTTCCCACTGTTTCCTTTGTGCCTCTTTTCTATGACCTTTACTTGCAGCTGTACCCATTAATTCCACTCAACCATCACTGACGCCCACACCCAATCCATCCTGTACCACTCCTCCACTACAAGTGCCTCTTTGGGAACCTGAAACCCTTAACCATCCTTCCTGAGTTTGTTTTTTCCTGAAACCCTTAACACATCCTTCCTGAGTTTGTTTTTTCACCAACAACACCTTATCTACCCCCGAGGCACAGTTTCTGCTCACTAAACATCTCTATTATGTCCTACACCTCTGCGGCCCCTGGCACTTACTTTTGGTGTAATGGAACTTTAACTAAATGTTTAAACTCCACCACTCCAAGCCCCTGCTTTCCAGTAACAATAGTACGCCAACTCACTTTGTACGGGGAATCCGAATTTTCCTGGCTATTCCACTTTTGCAGCAGCAGGAATAGCAGGTGGAGCCTTGGGTCATAGTATAATATCAGCCCAAGATTTTCAAACCCGTCTGGAGGTAACACTTGAAACCACTGCAGATTCCCTAGCCTCCCTCCAGCAGCAACTAACCTCTTTAGCCCAAATTACTTTACAGAATCGAAGAGCCTTGGACCTATTAACAGCAGAAAAAGGCGGAACTTGCCTCTTTCTTAAAGAAGAATGCTGTTATTATATCCACGAATCTGGTCTGGTGGAACAAAACGTCAATACATTGACTCAGCTGAGTAAGGAACTACGTAATAGACACTGAATGGATACCTCACCATTTGAATGGCTCCAATCACCACTAACAGCCTGGTTATTACCCCTTATAGGACCTCTTATACTAATAAGTCTCTTTTTTCTTTTTGCCCCTTGCCTCTTTAGATTTCTCCAAAACTGGCTTAAAGAAATGTCCAAAGTTACTGTTAACCAACTACTTCTACACCCATACACCCGACCCAATTCCCACTAACACCAGCCTTTAACCCCACTCTGACCCTGTTCAGCAGGAAGCAGCCAGAACGATAACTTCATAACTTCGCCCTTTTTATCACCAAAAAAGGCTGGAATGTCAGGCAGGAACATGGCAAGCCAAGCGGGTAAAGGATTAAGGGGAAAGAATTACAAGAACTGGTCAAGCAAGGGAGTGGCTGACCACACCCTATACTTGGCTTACAAGATCCTCAACTATTTCCTGCCCACTATGCTAATGAAGTGCTTCAACTCTACTTCCTGCCCCCATGCTAATAAGGTGCTTTAACCTTATTGGTTCCTGTAACACATATCCTACTCTCAATCTGTCCTCTAAGAACCAGGAAGAAAATCACTATAAAAAACCCTTTCTTTCACCTGGGCAGCGCAACTTCCCTGGCCCCTCTCAGGGACCCGTGAACCTTGCCCAGGCCCCTCTCAGGGACCCGTAAACCTCTCCCGGGAGTGCAGAATAAAAACTTCTCTTTAACCCCCTTCCAAAAAAAAAAAAAGTTAAACTTGTCTAAGAGAAAATGTCTATCACTCTAAGAAAGTGGCTCCCAATTTTGATCACACACACAGTCACCTAGATATCCAGGCCACACCCTGTTGTTGTTGTTGTTATGTGCCCTCCAGTCAGCCCCGACTCATAGTGACCCCTCCTTTGACCCCTCCTTGGGTTTCCGAGGCAGTATCACTATGGAAGTAGGATTGCCCAACCTTCCTTCCGAGGAGTGGCTGGTGGGTTTGAACCGCCAGCCTTCTGGTTAGCAATCAAATGCCTTAGGCACTATGCTACCAGAGCTCCCCAGGCCACACCCTAGACCAACTAAATCACAATCCCTGGGGTAGGACCCTGGTATCAGTAGTTTCTGAAGCTCTCCTATGGCTTCCAATGTGTAGACAAGAAACACTGCTCTAGTCAGAATTCACTGAACTGAAATGAAGCATACAAAACTGAAAGCTCCAACACCAATGTTGCTATCAGGCCCTCAAATCAAAAGCTTTGTTTTTACACAGGCACATGTACACAAATGTTTATAATAATATTACTCATAATAGCCAAAAGATGGAAACAAAATCATCAATGGATAAATGGATAAATAGATTGGGGTATATTCAATAAATAGAATGCTATTCAGCCATAAAAATGAATGCAGTAGTGATAAATGCTACAACCTGGATAAACCTTGAAAACATTATGCTAAGGGAAAGAAGCCAGACAAATACTGTATTTCTTCATATATTATATCCCTAATAGACAAATTCATAGACAAGCAATTAGATGTTGCCAAGGGGGTGGGAGGAAGGAAGAATGGGGAATAATTACTTAAGAAGTTGTTGTTAGGTGCAGTTGAATGGGGTGGGTTGTTCTTTTCCCCCTATTTTTTGTGGTTTACACACACACACACACACACATACATACACATATATACATACATATATATGTATATACACATATATACATACATACATACATATATAAGATATTTAAAACAAAAACAAAGACTAGTATGATGACCCCCATGTGCCCATAACCTATCTTCAAAAACTATAAACTAATGGCTAATCTTTATTTTTCAAATCCCTTCACTCATATCAAACCTGTGTCTTAATTACCCATCTACTTTCCCTCCTTTCCGTTCCCCTCCCATCCCTGGTAACAAACAAACAAAATTTTCTTCCCTGTGTAAACTTTTCCTTGACTCATACAATATTTGTCCTCCTGTGATTGACTTATTACACTCAACAAAGTATCCTCCAAGTTCATCCATGCTATGAGGTGATTGACAGAGTCTTCATTATTCTTTAATGTTGCATAGAATGCAGTGTTTTTAATAGGGTGATGAAAAAATTTTGAAACTAGATAGAGGTGGTCATTGTACAAATTGTGAATATACTAAATACAACTGAATTTAGTTCAACATGGTTAATTGTATGTTATGTGAATTTCATTTCAATAGGAAAAAAAAAAAAGGAAAAATCTTTATTAAACATACCTGGTGTGAGGAGCAAAGATCCATCAGGAGTAAAACTAAGTCTACGAAAGAATGATTTCATGCTGTCATCATGAAACATCCGGTAACTTCTTGCCTATGGCATACAAAGTTTAAATATTATCCCAAATCCGTATATTCACAAGAAGAGCTTACCAATGGCTACAGATTATCTTTTTATATTGCCACTTATTATTTATAAAGTAAAACATATCACAAACCAAATACACAAGACTGTAAGAGTAATTATTCATGAAAACTGATCACCCAGTTTGTTAAATAAAACTGTGTGTATGTATGTATCTGTGCATATGTGTTTCTATACACTTGCCTTCTTGTTGCCTAATGCTGGGATCTTCCTAGATCAGCAGTTCTCAGACCTGGGTATACCTTAGAATCATGTGAGGGGATCTAGAGAACAATCCTATCTACCTCAAGCCAAATGTATCAGATCCATATTTTTTTATATACTTCCCAGGTGATTCCACAGTGCACCCAAGGTTGAAAACCACTATTTTCTACATCATAGTTCAACCTACCCTCTAAGATTCCCCATTTCCTATGGACCAGCCCACAATACTAACTGAGCCTTCATCATCTGAGAAAAATCCCTATCCTAATTCAGGTGTCTTGTACTTAAGGCCAATGATCTAACTGCATGGATACGGGAGGAGCTCAGGACTTCCAAAGTCCCAATTAAAGTACTGCTGAAATGCAAAGCCAAAGTATTTTATACCTCTCCTTCAGCCCCTATTGCAGAAAGCATCTTTGAAACATTAAAGGCCACACGCTTCTTCTGTGTGCTGTACACCCGCAGCACCCTAAATAAAGAACAAAGTCTGATTTACCTCTTCTACAAAATGAGTTATGTTTCACATAGAAAGAACCTATTACCAAAACTGAGAACTTCTTCAACAATCTTCAACCTGCAAAACCATTTACGAATGACTTTCACATTTAACTAATTTATGACAAAAGCAAATTTAACAACATAAAGGAAATACGTCATAATTTTATTTTGTATTTAATGTTTCAACTTCTCAAATAAAATGTTCTTCAGGCCTGGTCTTACTTTTTAGACCTTGGATATGTGGTCTAGTGGTAATCTGTATGACTACAAAGAAATGTATTTTGTGTCGAACTGTCTCATTTTCAGGGATTTGCAAGAGTAAGGAAAACACCAGCAGGCAAATTTGTTTGTTGATGATTCATATTATTCCCACCAACCAATCAGATTATTTCACTCCTGACTGTCTGAATAAAAGACATATATCAGAAAATAAATAGCTTCTGGCATATAACAGGAGTTTCTATGAAAAATAAACATGAACTCTTCTACATTGCTTTTATTGGCATCTTAAGATCAATTTGTTATAAAGTATTTTGATAAATATTCAAAAGGAACATTTCAACTGTTAAGTAATATGCCTGTGACCCTGATTTTTTTTTAACTTTGTTCCAATAACACAATTCAGCGTAATTATACCAATAAACACACAAGGCCTCCTTTCAGAAATAACGTAAGTACTTTTCCTTTTTATATTAATTTAATCAGTCATTAAAATCACTGTATCAATAAACTATAATAAAAAATTGAATACTCCAATCTCACCTCTCTAAGTACTTCTTTTTGTCTAAGTCATATTTAAGAAGACATTTTTTTAAGTCTCCTGTGAATTTCATATGCAATTAAAAAGCCTATTTGATGTAAGAAAATTAAATTCTTTCTGTATTCATTCACCCATTCAATAAAGACTTAGCAAGTACTGACTTGCTGTAAGGTACTGTGCCTTAATTAGTTTCCAACTTCTTATTACATGTAAGATAACAGTCAAGCAAAATGCTTTATATCAGAACAAGAACAAAAGAATCACAGATAGACTATAATTTATATTGGTTTAGTCACGATAAAAATACCTCTACAGAAAACTTCAAGCAAATACAGATGAAGACAACTTGTAAAATTAATGTACCTGTCACAGCTCAGGGTAGCAATATATTGGCCCAAAGGATCCCAGGTTACACCTTGTACATAACTTTTATGTTCATTAAAAATTGAAATCTTTTGTCCTACCAAAAAAGCACACAACAGCATTACCAAAATCACACAAGCACAAATGGTACAAACTTTGACTTATGTATTATTACTTTTATACCATGCCCTGATGGCACAGAAAGGAGTTCTGTAAGTAGTAGGTAAGGCATTTGGTTGCTAATCAGGTTAGCAGTTCAAACTCACTAGCTGTTCCACAGGAGGAATACAATATGAGACAATCTACTTCTGCAAAGATTTAAAGCCTTGGAAACTCAGTGAGGGTTGCTATGAGTTGGAAATAACTCGACGGCAGCGGTTATGGTTTGGGGTGGCACAGCAGTTAAAGCATGCAGCTGCTAACTAGAAGGTCAGTGATTTGAACCCACCAGCTGTTCCAGCTGTGGGAGAAAGATGTGGCAGTCTGCTTCCATAAAGATTGTTGTTAGGTGCCTCGAGTTGATTTCGACTCAGAGTGACCCTACCTAGAACAGAACAAAACACTGCCCCAGTCCTGCACCATCCTCACAATCCTTGCTATGCTTCAGCCTATCGTTGTAGCCACTTTATCAATCCATCTCATTGAGGGTCTTCCCCTTTTTCTCTGATCCTTTACTTTACCAAGCATGATATCCTTCACCACTGAATGGTCCTTTCTGACAACATGACCAAAGTATGTGAGACAAAGTCTGGCCATTCTTATTTCTAAGGAGCATTCTGGCTGCACCTCTTCTAGGATAGATTTGTTCATTTTTCTGGTAGTCTATGGTATTTTCAGTATTCCTGGCCAACACCATAATTCAAAGGCATCAACTCTTCATCAGCCTTCCTCATTCATTGTGCAGCTTTCATATGTATGAAGCAATAGAAAATACTATGGCTTAGGTTGGGCGCACCTCAGACTTCAAAGTGATGTCTTTGTTCTTCAACACTTTAAAGTGGTCTTTGCAGCAATATGACATATGATTTCTTGACTGCTGCTTCCATAAGTGTTGATTGTGGATCCAAGTAAAACAAAATCTTTGATAACTTCAATCTTTTCTCCATTTAGAAGGTAGCCATAAAGATTACACCCTTATGAGCGATCAGTTATGTCTATGCAGGGGGGACTGTGCTCATGACCATGTATAGGGTTGGTAGACAATGTTTCTACAAGTGTATTTGTGTGTTCAGTAAGAATTTCCAGGTATATAGTAGGGCTGACAAGGGACTAGGTTGTAGTCACCTCTTGGCCACAGCCAGCTATGTAGAGGGAGCAAGCAGTTGAACCTGTGGGCTGGGGAACTTGGTCACAGGGGGTATCAAGCTCAACTGGCATAACATACTACACAAAAACATTGTGCCACATCCTACTTTGGTAGCGACTGGGATCTTAAAAGCTTGCAAGCGGCCATATAGATGTAATGATGGGTCTCTCCTCATACAGAGCAAAGAAGAATGAAGAAAACCAAAGACACATGGAAACAATTAGTCCAAGGTACTAGGACACCATGTGCTCCTCAGCTTATATAACTACAAGACCAGAAGAACTAGATGGTGCCCAGCTACCACTGTCAACCACTTGGAGGGGGATCTATATAGGAGATCCTGGATGGACTGGGAGAACAATGTGGAACAATACTCAAAA